TCCTCCCTCTTGGCGGGAGCACGGGGGGGGGAGCCTGATCCTCTGCAACTGCATTTGTCGCTGACATGCACAATGAATGCGTTGAGAACCGTTCTCCTCGAGCACAGAAGCCGGTCAGAGGTGGAGTGTCCGTGACAATGCAGGACGCTCGAGAAGAAGGACCTCATACACAGCGGTCGTTGAGGTCATCGTCCGCATGCACGAGCAGCCATAGCTGACCGCCAGCATTCTCAACTCCCATCCGCTCTGGGGTTCCTGATACTGGTCCTCCAAGAAGGGTGATGACAGCAACTGCGGATGAGTCCCCACAGGTGATAGAGAGGATCATAGCGCGGTACTCCAGGATGCGTACGGATGTCGAAGCAGACGATGGAGGTGACACCATGAAGGAAGTTACATCGAAAAAGCGGGAAGAAGAAGGCATGCAAGAGTGGTGGGAGATCGAAGGCGAGGGAGGGAGGGAGGGGAGGGTGCGGATGGCGATGGTGGGGGAGGGATCACGTGTAGGCTATCACAGTGGGTCTAGTCCTTGGCATCTACAACACCTTGGGCTTTAACTGGCATCTACAACACCCTGGACTTTTTTGAAAACAATGAAAAAAAAAAAAAAGGAAAAAAAAAAGCGGAGGAAAAAAAAGAAAAAAAAAGAGCAAGATTACGTCTGAAAAATCTGGAAAATTTGAGCACAGGAAATGGCGCGTTGTAGAATAGAAAATGACGAGAGATCAACGGCGTGCTGTTCGAAGCAAGCACCCTACGTACGTTTCAGCCCGATCAAGTCCCACTTATTATTACCAGAATTTTCCATTTTCGACCATAGATTACGAAGATCAACGGCCAAAAACGCAGGATCATGCTAAGTAGGACTTGTTGAGAGAACTCGCATACATCCCTTAGCCACAAATAATCGTAAGAGCAATCCACAACGGCATGCAGCCTAAACCCTAAGCAAAAAATCGTCAACATCCATAGACACGGCCAATTGGCCTACATACTCAAACATGACGACCATCAGAAGTGAAAGAAAAGAGACATCCATGCAGAGAAAGAAGGGAAGTCTTAGAAGATAAAAGGTAAGAAGTGGGAGGAAGAAGAGGAAGAGAATGACACATCGATGTCTCTCGAACGCGACGTATGGCTTCATAAAATATAAAAGTCAAACCTGCCAACAAGTTGAACCCGAGCAATACAGGGTCAACACTCCGGCCAGACCCTACGCGTTTCATCCGGAGCCGGTTCCGGAATCATCAGGGGTCGTCACGAGTCGAGTGCCAAACAATGTGCCAAAAGGACGATATATAGTAGAAGACAGCAACCGAAGTCACTAGGTCCAGCCAAAGTCACCGAAGGAGGTATCTACCAACAACTAACTCACACGTCCACAACTCAAGTCTCCTCAGGTCCTTGCCCAAAGAGTCCCGCTTCCAATCGCTAAAAGCCAACTACAAAGAGTCTTGTCTGAAAGTCTACGTCACCGGTTCGAGGTCAGATGCCCCACATTTCTTATGACAACTCATAGCACAAGGCCCAGCATGTCCGTTGGGCCCACAAGCCAAAATAGTAAATTGAACAGACCAATGTTCAAATCCGCTCCCTCCACAGATATCATCATCCTGTGCCGAAACAATCAGCTGAAGTCCAGAGATCTATCCTCAGAACCTATAACATCCTAAGAGTTGTGAAAACTGAAACTAGTGCCCCCTTTCCAAAAAGGGTCGTCCTGGCCCAAAAACCGCGTTCCAGAGCAAATTTTATCCCAGCCAGTCAGACACTCAACCCAACAATTCCACAAACCTCCTAACTTTCAAACTTCACTGAGAAGTTACTCAATGATTTGTCAAAGATTTCATCGGGGAACCCCCGAAGCCTCAACTCAACCTTAAAGGTGAAGAGAAAAAACACCTCAGCCGCAGGCATACTCGTAAACCGTCGAACACGATGAAAGAACGACCCCACAACAACCATCTTCTGTTTCTTACTCACGTAGGAACAATTATCCTGCACGCTCTGAAAACATAGCCCTTTGCTCAAAATAGTTCGTTGGTTTTTATGCACAGCTGCACATCGAACACCAATTGGCCAACGGAAGCTCCTCATAACACACCCAAGAAAGTCCCAAGTATCAGTGCAGCTAGTACGCTCCAAACTCAGTTTAGGATCATAGCATTCGGCAAATATGCCCATAATTCTTTTTGCGTTCCGAAGAGAAATTTCGCCCCCCATGCGGTATTTGATGAAAACTGAGACGTCATCAATAAGACGAATACCTTTAATCAGATGTCGTTCTGCCTCGATAGAGTTTAGAAACAAGAATTCAGAGTAGACACAGAGCAAACACGCTACAACAGGACTGGAGGGTTTACCCATAGGAATCCCGACAGTTTGTCGAAGAATCAACATGTTCGCCCGAATAAAAGTATGGGCCAAATCAAATCTCACAAAGTTATGAATGCCATCAAATTCGATGACATCCCATCCCTCCTGCCTCTTGCCTTTCAACATCTTCGCATCTTTGCCCTGTTTCTTCAACAGGACACCTTTGACTTCCTTACCCTTCCCAGTAATCAATCACCCAGTCTAACGCATTCAAAATTGAATGATGAGGCAAATTATAAAACATTTCTTTGATATCATACGCCGCCGTGAGCAGGGCATCCCCTTCCCGCAATCCTTTGTTAACCAAATTAAGCGAATTAACCAGCAAATCAGAGCTTTTCAAATTGAAGTGGGAAGATTTAGGCAGATTCCAGATCATCGCATTCACTGAACGAAAAATTTTGCGACAACCTCCTACTCCATATTCGCTGAAAGATGGGCAGATAGGTCGCCACCGAAACACATCATTGTGTTTCAGAATCACATAAGATTTGCCGATCTTTCCCTTACTCTCCCATTTTTTCACCTTCTGCAATCCATTCAATTCGTAAGACTTCTTAGCTTGCTTCAAAAGTGCAGGCTCGTCAAGATCGATGGTTCGAAATCCTGGATTACAATGAAAGAGGATATTCATACCCTCTTGGTAAAGCAACGGACAACACACATACGTGTCACCAGGATTGTGGTCGATTGGCACCCGCACCAATCCTTCCAACCTCTTAGCCCAAGATGTGGCAGTCAACTCGGAACAGTCACCAAATCGTACCTCCGGGTTGGAGCAATAAGAAGCCACGGAGGAACATTTCAGAGGAGGCACATCAAAGTCAAGAGTGGAAAATGAAGACAAAATCTGATATCTTAGTCTGCCGACAACATTAGGACAGTCTGGAGAAACCACATTCTTATTGTTGCGCAACCAAGTCGGGGCGAGTTCCCAATTATTCAAACGAAAGCTAACATGGCCATCAATAAGGGGAAACACCTCAGTTAAGGACGAGCAGTTACACACATTATGAAGCGCACGAGCGGCTTCTTTAAAGTTAAAGATGAGATCCCCCACACTTTTATTCCGCAACCACACAATACCCATACGTCGTACTGTCATAAGTTTCCAACCCATATCAGCCTCCGACCTCATCACCAAATCAGAGCAAAGCGAACGAATCCCACACTTACTGATTCCATAATCGAAGGTAATCCGAATCACCAACCGACGTTGAATATTGATGTCATATCGTCGCTTAATAACCCCTGACAGAATAACACGTAAAAGATATCTGGATCTCTTTTCGGAAAAACAGCGAACGACAGAGTAAGCTTGTATCAGAAGAGTGAAGTCCAGGCTCATAAGTTCCTTCCTAGAATTCGGATTAGCTAGACACCCGGCCAACATTGGTTTCAAAATTGCGAAGCGAGCAAGAAAAGACACCACATTACAATACGCAAGAACTTCCCCGGCAGGAACATATGTTTAGCTTTCTTTAGCAACTCATAATAACCCAAACAGCAAATCGGAGAAGACTCGAACCGACGCTTAATCAATTTCCAATTATCAGTAAACGTTAGGCCGCCAGCATAGACAATTCCTACAGATGAAACCTTCTGTTCAACGCAGGATTCCAAAATAGCAGAAAGACTCGAAGAGACTATGCCAATAGTCGAATGGAAGATTAGATGAGTGAGAGGAAGGGAGACTTGGGTTGAAACTCCAGTATTGCGCTTTCTTCTGAGCCGTGGGTTGGAACTCCAGTATTGCGCTTCCTTCTGAGCCGTTCCTTCTTCCCTAATCTCCGACGCTTACATGTCTGTTTCCTATCTCGACAGTTCAGATGTGGACAAAACTGACCGATCAAAAAATTTTCCAAACTACGAACTTCCTCTGTACCACAACGAAATAGGGGAACAACGACATATTGCCCTACCTGGCATCTCCTCAGCCAACAATATAAACGATGATTGCATTTACCTTGCTCAATCACTCTCAAATTAGACGCCCTATACACATGCTCTGTCTAGCGAGTGGGAAGTGATCGAGTCGTAGAGCCAATATAACAGTGCTTAGACCATGGGGATATCAAGACGTAAACAAGAGGTCCAGGGCAAGCTTCCAAATCAAACCCATCAATAAGCAGTCTCAACACATAATCTTTAAATTTTCAAGCCCAAGGAATCTGATCACGAAGGATGAGACCAATCACCACGAATCTAAAGAAAGCATTATATTCGGTATCCCGAAGAAAGAAGGACGAGGAGTCTGAAAGATTAGAAGACTTACAACTAAGAGGGGAAACAGAGCCGGATCGATAAATAGAAGACAAACAAGTTCCAAAGGCACACCTCTTCCTTCGGCACTCGTCTGCTAAAGACCAGAGAGAGGACGCGTCCGGGAAAACCCCTTATAACTCCTCCGATTTCTTCACTTCATCCTCGACACTTCCGGTGCTCTTCGAAGCATCGTCACTAACCTCCTGCACTCCACAAGGCTATTTCGAGGAAGGGCCCGCAATATCACCAAAGGATTTACGAGCCCGAGCTTCAGCAAGCTCGCAGATAGTTTCTTCAAACTTCCCAAGTTTCACCCCTTCCTCCTTGCAAAGCGGTTCTAGACCGATCTTCCGAAGCATTCGCAACTGCCGCTTTTGTTCTTCGACAAATTCGGCACGATCGTTGGTAAGCGTGGTCGCCTGCTTTGGCGTTGACTCCTTTTCCAAGTGCACGGACGCAGAAGTAGCTCTGGTTTCAGTCCTTCCAGGAGTTGCTTTGACTCCTTTCCTAGCTGAACGAAGAGCGACTTCCTCAAGGCGATCTTTGAGATTCGTACCCCCGACTGACGACCGTCTTCCCATTACCTTTCTCCCCACTAGCCATCAACTGTCCCATCTTCTCCTCCAAAACCTTGACTTGCTTTTCTGCCTCCATTCGACGAGCTTCCGCTTTAGCCCACTTTTCCTTCAGCGCCTCGGCTTCAATGTTGGCCAGACGATGCAGACTCTGAAGATTCCTATATTCAGCTTTCCATTTATCTTCCTCCCTTACATTATCCGTCCATCGTGGTTTAGGTGAACCTCGATTGGAAACATTCAGTGTCTGCAATACCACACTGTCCCGCTTGTTGCACGGATGAAGGGCTTCTTCCTTCCATTGCTCAATTTTCAGAACAGCACGCTCATTTTGATCCCGCAGAAGATTGACTTCCTTCCTTAACCCCGCAATTTCTTGTTCGAAATTGGTCTTCATAAAGGATGACTGCTTAAGCTCACAAATCTCGGTCTTCAAGGCAGCAATCACATCCTCATTGAACTGCTTCTCACCAACCTTGCGACGCAGCTCCATGATTTCGTTCTGCAAGTACATAACTCGATCATCACCAACAAGGCACAGTGCTTCACTCAACTTGCGCTTCAAGTCTTCATTCTCCTTTCGTAGTTTAGCGACATCCTCCATAGTAGAGTCCCCGCTGACCGCTTCCACTGATTTCCCTTTACCAATACCTAACGCCTCCAACCTCTTCTCTAATCGCTCACCCATTGCCGCCTCAAACTTCTCACGCTCCATTTTCCATGCTTCCAATTTCTCCTCCTCTTCTCTTTTGGCCTTCTCTCTAGCTTCCTCCTCCTCCTTCTTGGCTTCCCGTTCAGTATCTTCCACGTATTTAACATAGACCTTATCGAGCCTTTCCTGATTACGCACCCACCAGTTAGGACGAGCCTGGTAACGATTGCCAGCCTCCACAGTATTACCAGTTCTAAAGTTAGAAGAGGACGGACCATAGGAAGAGGAGGAGGCAGCGTTATTAGAAGCCAAACCCGTAGCAGAGGGGCTCGGAGCAGGCAACGCCAGAATCGGAGGCCCAGTCGGAACAACGTTGGCGCCCGTGGCAGGTGGGCGAAAGCCAGGGCCCCGATGCGGGCATTCTCGAACCCAGTGATGCATTGAGCCACATTGGAAACAACCATCCCTATTCGGATTCCCAACCATCACCGATGTTGTCAACAAAGCACCAACACAACGCAGAAAGTACAGACAAAAACAGCATAGGAAGCACGAATGAACGAAAATAAGTGACTACTTCAACGAGTCACACACGCGTAGTATGATTGCTACGGTGGTTCCAAATCGTCAGGATGATGTTGAGAGAACTTGCATACATCTGTTAGCCACAAATAATCGTAAGAGCAATCCACAGCGGCATGCAACCTAAACCCTAAACAAAAAATCGTCAACATCCATAGACACGGCCAGTTGGCCTACATACTCAAAGATGACGACCATCAAAAGTGAAAGAAAAGAGACATCCATGCGGAGAAAGAAGGGAAGAAGAGAAAAGGTAAGAAGTGGAAGGAAGAAGAGGAAGAGATTGACACATCGATATCTCCCGAACGCGACAGATGGCTTCATAAAATATAAAAGTCAAACCCGCCAACAAGTTGAACCCGAAAATGGACGTCATGTCCGTGTCGAGCAATACAGGGTCAACACTCCGGCCAGACCCTACGCGTTTCATCCGGAGTTGGTTCCGGAATCATCAGGGGTCGTCACGAGTCGAGTGCCAAACGATGTGCCAAAAGGACGATATATAGTAGAAGACAGCACCCGAAGTCACTAGGTCCAGCCAAAGTCACCGAAGGAGGTATCGACCAACAGCTAACTCACAGGTCCACAGCTCAAGTCTCCTCAGGTCCTTGCCCAAAGAGTCCCGCTACCAATCGCTAAAAACCAGCTACAAAGAGTCTTGTCCGAAAGTCTACGTCACCAGTTCGAGGCCAGATGCCCCACATTTCTCATGACAATTCATAGCACAACGCCCCGCACGTCCGTTGGGCGCAGAAGCCAAAATAGTAAATTGAACAGACCAATGTTCAAATCCAATCCCTCCACAGATATCATCATCCTGTGCGGAAACAATAGGCTGAAGTCCAGAGATCTATCCTCAGAACCTATAACATCCTAAGAGCTGTGAAAACCGAAACTAGTGTCCCCAGTCCCGGGGCGAAGTCCCACTAGCAGCGTTGAGCTACCTCAAAGCCCGAATATGGACGTGTTTGTGGAGACGTGCAGTTGAGGAAACTCAACACCATTTCTGCACATCTCCGCAAAAGCGTCCAGATTCATGCTTTGAGGTAGCTCAACGCTGCTAGTGGGACTTGGCCCCGGGGGCTAACCGGTAGGTCCACTTACACGAATTAAGCGATATTGACCGTAGATTGCAAAGATCAACGGCCAGCATCATTAGGGGTCAAGCGCCTGAACTTGGTCGTAGCGGAGCATACCATGTTTTTTTTTTGTTTTTTTTTTTTGTGCTCTTACTTACCACATGTGTTGCATGAGGCGGGAAGACTTTTTTGCTTTTTACGAAAGAAAATTTCCATTGCCGGGCCCTTCAGGATATGACGTCCTTTCTCAACGCTCGGCTGCGCTGGTGAGTTCAGAAGCCAGCGGGACGAATCAACGGAGTCACGACGAGGCTGTCCATCGTCGTGCAGAATTCTGCCGAAGAAGTCAAACCTTCTCAACTGCTCTACTAAATCGTTTGACCGGAGAACAAACAACCACCCATCTCCAAAGCTCCTCTCTCTCTCTCTCTCTCTCTCTCTCTCTCTCTCTCTCTCTCTCCCACACACATACACACACACACACATATGCACACAGTATCCTTGGACTTCGAGCGAACTGCTTGGGCGATAAGGACGCTGCTATGGTTTGCGTTTTGTAAGGAAGCCAGACACCCATAATCGACCAAGCAAACAAAAGAAAGAGAGAGAGAGAGAGAGAGAGAGAGAGAGAGAGAGAGAGAGAGAGAGAGAGATCTGCTATGGTTTGCGTTTCGTAAGGAAGCCAGACACCCATAAACGACCAAGCAAACAAAAGAGAGAGAGAGAGAGAGAGAGAGAGAGAGAGAGAGAGAGAGAGAGAGAGAGAGAGTCCTACTACGGTAGGTAGGATGTTCAGGACGGGAGGAGCAGTTCCGGGGGCGTCATCCACGTGGAGTGACACGTGGACGCTTATTGATGAGATCCATTGGTCAGAAGGCCACAGCGAGTCTCTCGTTGTGGGAGG